AGAAAAGAAAGAAAGAAAGAAAGAAAGAAAGAAAGAAAGAAAGAAAGAAAGAAAGACAGACAGACTAGTATAACAGCCTTTATCTCTCCTCTGGGAGCTCTGGTTCTGGTCTAACCCTCCTCATCCACTAAGAATCACATAAGACTTCTACCATGAGGATATATTTGGTGGTAGCATTTAATCTCACCACCTCTGCCCTCTGGGCTCTTGAGATCTGGTCATTGTGTCATCCCAAGTAACCCTAGCCTCCTTTTTATCTGTCATTTCCTTTTCTACTTGCTGTGGGCTACTATGTCCAGGCAGCCATGGGCTTAGAGATTAGAGGCCATACTGTTCCTTTATGTTGTTTGTTTGTTTGTTTGTTTGAAGTCTCCTGTAGTCCAGACTGACCTCTTATTATAAAAATTAACCTTGAATTCTTGGTCCCTGCTTCCACTTCCTGCAAGCTGGGCTTACAGATGTGCACCAGCTCCAGCTGTTGTCCTCTATTGGATACCCAGTGAGTGCTCAGTTTTCACTGATGGCTTCATCTTCCACCCAGGCAATCCCTCATTGCTATGGAGACAGGCAGCTGGACCATCCATCCCTGGTAGAACCAGCTAGACTCCCATTCAGCACTGACTCACACAAGCTGTAGCAACCCCTCAGCTTCACTGGCTGTCTGCAGTTTGCCAGCCATGTACCGGGCCCTTTCCTCCTACTTCTCAGGCCTAGGCTTCTGACGGTGGAACAGAGAGCTAGCCTGGGATGGTAGAGGTCATGGACACAGGTCAACTGGGAGACCCTGAAAGAGCCTCCTGGGAGTGGCATGATAGCCCATAAAAACTGCAGAGTCATAGTGAGCCTTGGCAGAGAAGCAGAGTCATGAATGGAAGCATAAATGAGACACAGAAACTATGGGAGGAAAATGTTTGAGATTGGAACATAGGCAAATGACATTGTATAAAGCAAGTCCAGACAGCATTATAGCCCTGGGCAACAAAGGAGGGGAAAACCCACACTTGCTCAACTCCCCCCAAAATGCTCTTCTCCCATCACCACCTTAACACACAAATAGCATGTGTGTGCCATTGCCACCCACATAGAGCCAGTGAGCCAGCATAAAATATGGACACTTCTCATATGTTCCAACCCTTGAGCTATCAGGGAAGAGGCCTAAATGGAAAGATAGAGTACTAGGTCACTGTGACATTTCACAATGGCCCCATGGTGAGATAGCTCTTTCAGCAGGGCCTCTCAGGCCTCTGGGGATTTATGCTGAGTCACAGCTGGCTCCATCTCCAGGACCTTTGAAGGCTGCCTACCAGCCTCAGACCTGGTTGGCCAAGCATCTCCTGACTCCTCCCTCTGCCTTCCTGTAGGCTCTTCCTAATCTGCTCAGGCACATTGTCTCTAAAGTTTATGTGTGTATGTCAGTTTTCTTCAGAGAGGGGCCAGGAGCTGGAGAGATGATGGCTCACAGGTTAAGAGCCCATCCTGCTCCTAAAGAGAATCCAGATTCAGTTCCCAGCATCCACGCCCGGAGGCTCAATACCAATATAATCTGGTTTAAGGGAGATCCAGTACCCCTGGCCTCCTTGAGCACCTGCCCCCCTGTGTACATATTTACATACAGATACATATGTCATTTAAAATGAATTGGAGGAAGAGAACTGTAAAAGCTAGGAACCACACCATTTGAAAGTAGCATTCTGCATGTGTGAAATGACGATTAGATCAACCATGTCTACCTAACACAGCCCTGTCCTCAATCTGTCCTCACATGCTAGTGTTCAGGCCCTGCCATCTCCCCGATGGACCTCTACAGATCCATTGGCCTGAGCTTCATGCCGCCTCCTGTCCATGTTGTCCACAGGCTCATGGGAGGGCTCATTAAGACCATGCCGTCCGTGCTACTGCTGCCCCATCCACTTCCCTACACTGGCTTCCCATATTCTAAGTAAGACCCATGCCCTCTGAGCAACCCCAGAAGCCCTCCCAATGACTCCTCTCCTGCCTCTCTCTCTCCTTCTGCTCTAGCCACCACAGTCTTCCTTAAGCTTGTCACGCTAGCCTGAGGGCCTTGGCTCTGTATGGGCTGGTCTTCCTGATTGGACTTCCTCCTCAGGTGCACCGAGGGCTGCCTGGCCACCCAGACCCCTGCACATCCAGTCACTTGCTGACCCCTCACCCTGCTGCCTTCATTTTTATGTTATAGTGTGTGTGTGTTTACACAAGCATGTCACAGCATACATGATGGTGGAGGTCAGAGAACCTTGTAGGAGTCAGGTTTTTTTCTTCTACCTTTGATCAAACTCAAGTCACCAAGCCAACAGCAGGTACTTTTTACCCACTAAGCAATCTTACTGGTCCTGATTTGTTTTTTTAAGGCAAGGCCTCACCCTGTAGCCCAGGCTGGCCTGGCCTGGAATTCACTACATAGCCCAGGCTGGTCTCAAACCCTTGGTAGTCCTGCTCCAACCTCCCATTTGCTATATAGAGTAGGATTTTCATCATTGTTCCCTGCTTTGGTTTTTAGAACCTGGCATCCACTAAAAATCACAGCATAATCGAATGAATGAATGAATGAATGAATGAATGAATGAGAGAATATATCCATCAAAATAGTTCAAAACAATAAGGATTTGGTGTTCTCAACACTGGCCTGATGTGGGAGAGATGGAGGTAAAGCCCATGGATTCTAAGTTGATAATAAATTGTTCTTTGGGACTCTGTGGGTTTGAGATCAGCCTTGTCTGCATAGTAAGTTCTAGAACAGCCTCTGTGGAGAGATCCTGTCTCAAAGGGGAAAAAAGAAAAGAGAAAAAAGAAATTGCCTTGAAGTGCCAGAGCCCAGGCCTACCAGATTCTGTAAGCTACATTAGGCCCGCCTGCTTCCTAGAAACACTATTGTAACAAGGAACGGGTTGAGCATCTGCCTTACCATTCCCGCCTTTCTCAAGCAGGATGGAGAGATGGCTCAGTGTTTAAGCTTATTCACTGGCTGCTCTTCCAGAGGATCAGGATTCAGTTTTCAGCACCTATATGGTTATTCTACACTGCCTTCAACTCCACTCCAGAGCATCAGAGCACCCTCTGAGAATATACTATACACACAGTGCACAAACATACATGCAGGCAAAACAACCATATACATAAGAGTAAAATAAATACTTTTATTAAATAAATAATATCCTCTGCCAAAACAGCCAGTGCTTTCAAACACTAAGCCCTCTCTCCAGACTCAGGATGGCATTTCTTGAGTAAAAGTTTCCTTTATGACCACATACCCTGGGAAGGCCTAGCTTAGGGACTAAGGGCAGATACAGCAGACCATCCCCACCTCTGAATTCTCTACATTAGCCTTACAGTACTGGGAGAACATGTATGCCTTTCTTCATTTGAAAGCCAAACGAAAAGTTCTCCGTGGTAAGGTGATGTGTCTGGAGCCCTAAGACCGTGACAGTTAGAGTCAGACTTGGAGCCAAGACAACTGTGGTGACTAAAGCTTTGCCCTTTCATACCCTCTTCTGAGGCAGGGAGAGGGATCCAAACCAGACTACAGGTCTAGGAAGTAGAAGCTGGGAGCACAGGGAACTCTGGAGATTTTCTAAACAACCATGGTTGCTTTAGTTCCTTTGTTTCAGCTGTTTTGAGATTTTTTTTTGTAGCCAGCTGGCCTCGAGTTCTCTGTGTAGCCTAGGATGACCTTGAACTTCCTGATCCTCTTCCCTCTACCTCCAAAATGCTGGAATTGTAGGTATGTGCCACCATGTCCAAATTCCACCATCATTTGTGATAGAAGACTCTAAAAGTACAGGCTAAGAATGTACATCGGGGACCTAGAGCTAAGACAAAGGGGAGAATTAAAATGAGAGACTGTCATTTCCAGAGATGGCAGGCAGTCCTGAACCAAAGACTGACTACTGTGTGCCTGTCCTCTGCCTCTCTTCTAGCGGGAGGGAGTCATACAGGGATGGAAGGCAGTATCTGTGATCTACAGATGAGGGATCCAAAAGCAAGGAGAGGTAAGAGCATCCCAGTGTTAGTGAGATGTGAGGTCTGCAACACAGACCTCACGGGGCTCAGAGAAGCACCTCACCATACCCCCCAGATACCTTGATGCTCATGGAGAAAGCGACAGAAATGGAGGTATGACCTCTGAGACCAGTGCAGACTCCTAGGACAAGTGAGCTAAGATGCGGAAATAAAATGTTTCCTGGGAGAGAATTTGGCAGAACCCCATCAGCACTGGATAGAACGATAGAGTGTTGCATGAAGCCAGCATCTCCCTCCATATAACCCCGACCCCAGGGCCAGCTCTGGGCTGCTCCATTGCCTTCAGGGTGTTCCTTTCTGTTGTTCTGGTGGAGGAAACACAGGAAGGTGGGAATTGCAGTTTGTCAGGGAAGGCATGATCTCTGTGTCCTCATTCATTTCTTCAAGTCACAGATATCTAGTCAAGGTGGGCTGGAGGCTCCACCCCTTCCCCAAATCACCTGTAGAGGACTATCACAGTGGAGCTCCAATGACTACATGCCACATTGCCTTCCCCATCTGTCACTGTTCCCTGGGCACCTGACGTTCAGCCAGTGCGTCACCAGCAGCTGGTTCCCATGCTATGCAGAAACAGATAAAACTAACACTCACATCTTATACCTGGGAGCAGGTTGCAGGTGCCTATGAATACTCTGGCTGAGCCTTGTTACTGGGGTGATGGGATCGTTTCCATGACAACAGACAACAATAAGCTCCTTTCGAGGAAATGAAGGCCGACTTTGCATTATTTTCCCTCCACTGGTACTGTTCCTGACAGCCAGTCTCACTGGCCCTGAGGTGACTGACCTCTGTGGACAGCGATAAGCCCACAGTCTAGGGCTTAAGCCATCTGGTGCTGACGCTGCTGGCAGGGTCTCGCTGTCCCAGTTAGCAAAGGGTAGCTGCACGCCTGGTGGTCACTATGCATGACTCAGCCCTCCTTTCCTGGCTTCCCTTCATTGTGGGAGCCTTCACTTGCTGTGGTAGGGCTGGCTACACAGGATGCAGCATCTCTGCTCACTGGAGCAAGCATCTTCTGCATAAGCATACGTGTTCATTCGTTTGCAGATATAGGACCATCTACACTCCGTTTTCAGACAGTATTTCACTAGCATGGGGCTTACTTGATTAGGCTAGACTGGCTGGAGCGAGCCGCAGGGATCTGTCTCTCCCAAGCCCTCGGTGCCAGGATTATAGCTGTGTGCTGCTGTGCTCAGCTTTTTCACATAAGTTCTGGGGATCGAACTGAGGTCCTTACGTTTGCATAGCAAGCAATTACTAGCTGAGCCATTTCCCAGGCCTTTCCTCTTTGAACCTAAGCTGAATGAGGGAATTGTGGTGAAGGAGACAGGCTTTGGTCTCGTTCACTCCTGATTTGGCTAGGTGACTAAGGAGCAGCTCTCCCCCAGGTTCCCCTCAGTGCCTGAGCATCCCATAGAGCAAATATGTGTCCTTGGCCGCCTGCATTGATTGGTTCAGCACCAGCTATTTTCTCCCAGTACTAACTACCACACAGTTGTCTGATCCATACTGTTGCAATGTTATATAGCCTGTGGTTTGGCAAGGCAAGAGCTAAGCAAGCCCAAGAGTAGGCCCTGCAAAGGCCATATTGAAGCCCCTTAAATCATCCTACCATTATCCAAGTAAGCATAAAGGGGGCTGTCTGGCCTCTGGAAAACCCTCATCCTGCCCACAAACCCTCCCAATCCTGTCCTCAGGTATCCTGTTTGGAGTAGGCTAGCCTGGGCTTCCGGGACTGAGATCCACGTGTTCTTCAAAGCAGAACAGAGTGCAAAGTGGCTGTTGCTCCGATGCTTCCAGGGAAGAATTTTACTTGAACCCATGCTGGGAGTACGTGTGTGCATTCAGGCAGTGCTGTGTTGTAAACCTAATGTCCCTCAGGGTCTCTATGTAAAGAGCATGGGACAGGAGCTCCAATGTGTCTTCGTGTATAGTCACTGGACAGGATCGGTATCCTGGGGGCTCTGCTTTGGCCAACTCTCTGAGGCAGCAAACTGTCTAAAAGGGCAGGACATCTTCAGTGAGTGAACTGATGGAGCTTGTCAAAGTGAATGTCTTGGCTGGGTGTGGTGGCACATGACTTTAATCCCTGCACTTGGGAGGCAGAGGTAGGCGGATCTCTGAATTCCAGGCCACCTGGAGCTACATGGTCAGGATCAAAACCCTGACCTTGACAGTGGCCTCTCTAATCTCTTCCGCTTTGATCTTACCTGCCTCCCCACACCTCTAGCAGAGGTCATGCAGGTTCCAGAGTGGAACCAATGAGGCACGTGTTGAAAGGGACTCTGGTTTCAAGCATGAAACAACTGGCATTCTAGTAGGTGTGGATTTGGTGTCTGTCACATAAAGACCAAGTCAGCGACTTCTCTCTCTGACTCATACGATCTAGCAGGCTGCTGTGGTCCTGCCATCAAGGGACCCACACCTTCTTCCCAACTGCTGTAGTTCAGTATGTGCTGTCCCTCTTGTGGCCCAAGATGGTAAGTCCAACCCCACTTCCACATGCATAGTCTGGTGAATAGGGAGGAAGGGAAGGCCACTGTAGGAGTTACATCACCTCCACATCAGCAGTAGCAGCCATGCTCCACAGGCCTCAGCCAGAATCCCATGACTGTCAGAGTGAGCTGAATGTCCACATGCTCAGCTAAAAAGTCCATTTCTCCATGTGATGGGGCGATGGATTTAGAAAATAGATGCACACTAGCACCCAGAGTGGCTACATAAGGCCCTGAACTGACTAACATAGCACTCTTGTTTGGGAGATGAAGATGGGTCTGAACTTCAAGGTAGTCAGGTCTCCTGCCTAGCCTCCCAGTGGCCCTTGTAAGCCAGAATGAGCCTTGAAGGTGGAGTTTGAGCAAACTGGGTTGGCCAGGCTCCCCAAGTACTTCAGTCCTGTCATGCCAGAGAGTAAAACTCCCTGGTATTACAAGCCTGGCCACCAGGTCATGATGATGTCACTCCTCTGACCTCTCCACGGTGTGAAGTGATGGGGAGCCCTGTTTGATAGTCCACACTATTTTTATCCTTTGAAGATGTGGTTATAAAATCCATGCTTGAAATCATTGGCTCTGCACTCACAGGGCTCAGGAAGTGGTCACGTGCAGTGTCACACTGCAGCCAGCACCCTTAGTCTGTGCCTCTGCCCCTTCTGCACCCTTCAAGAGCTATAAGTAAGAGACTGATCCATACATGAGTAGTTCTGGCAAAAAATTTGATTTGACTGTGAGAAACCGGCAGGGATATTTTGTGGTGGCTTCCCAACACACAGTTGAGTGGTCAGAGTCTCAGAAGCAGAATTCTCCTTTCGAGAAAATGCCCCTGTATCTCCATCCATTCCAACCATCCCCACCCCATCTCCCCTCAGAGTGTGTGCAGCATGGCCCTGGAGTGAGAACAGGCTTTCACTAGTCACCCTGTGCTGTGCATAGGGGTTGCGTTCACTCTAGTATAAAACTCAAAATGTCCACAGGAAGTCTCCCAGTGGACCAGCCTACCTACATTCTGCACCCCACTGGCCTCTTGCCTTCTCTCTTCCCATCCCGTTCCTGCCCACTCTTATCTCCCAACGTAGAGCAGATCTAGGAATAGCCTGACCTTTCCACCTTGGCTACAAGCAGTGCTGGCCTTTTTTTAACAGACCTGTCCATAAATCTTAGTTGTTTTTCATCTTTGAAAAAGCCGCTTCTATCAGCAAGTCATTACTCACATGTGAGGGGTAGGGAAAAGTTCACTAGTTTCAGACTTCAAGTTCTTTTCACTCTGTTTCACAACATTCATTCCCCAGAAACCACAGACTTTTTTTTTAAGTAAGTACCCAGTAGGCAAGATGCCCAGTGACACAGCCTGCTAGACTCAAGGCCAGCCACCTGGGGAGAAAAGGAGCTGGTCACAGGGTTTGTCTTGGATGGGGCTGGTTCTTCCCATGGAAAATAGGGAATGAAACTCACACTATTTGTGTTTTGCAGTAGTGGACTTGGTGGGTTGGGAGATTTGAGGAGACAAGAATGATATTTATTTTAAAAATGATATTTATAATGCAAACTTAGCTTAGGGTAAATGTATGATAGTTGTAGCTCCCTAGAGCCTCATATTAATTCCCTGCAGAGTCAACTAGAGCAAAGGTGAAAGGTTGGTGAATTTGTATCAGGTAGGAAGAGGCACGAAGCTGGGAGAGGGAAATATCAACCAAAGACTGCTCTTTGTATCTTTTTTTTTTTTAATGATAAGGTTTCTCTTTGTAATCCTGGCTGGCCTGGACCTTCTGATGTAGACCAGGCTGGTCTCAAGCTCACAGAAATCCACCTGCCTCTGCCTCCTAGGGACTGGGATTAAAGGCATGTGCGACCATGGCCAACCACTCTTTCTGCATTTTGAGAGGATGGTACACATGTGTGCATGGGAATATAGGGACTAGAGGTTGACATTGATAGTCTTCCTCAACCGTGCTCCACCTCATTCTACTGGGTATCATCTTCCTCAACCGTGCTCCATCTTATTCCCCTGGGTGTCTTCCTCCACTGTGCTCCACCTTACTTTTTGAGACAAGGTTCCTCACTGAAGCTGGAGCTCCCCAATTCAGCTAGACTGTCTGACCAGGCAGCCTCTTGTCTCTGCCTCCAAGGTCTAGGGTTACAAGCAGATGCCACTGTATCCAGCTGTTTACCTCATGCTTGCATGGCAACACTGAACCAACTGAGCCATGTCCACAGAGCTCACAGACTTGTCTCCAACCTCAGATAACATCCTAGCACTCTAGATCAGAAGGAGAGAGACAGCAGCGTAAAGGTACTTTTCATGCAGTTGGAAGAATGTGGCAAGACCCTAAAACAATGCTCCTGGCTTCAGTGTGGTGGAGGATGCCTGTAATTCCAGCACTTGTCAAGGAGAGATAAGAGGATCCGTTCAGGCTCATCCGATGAAAGCAGTCCCTTAAAAGTAAGACATAAAGTAGGAGGTAACCCTTCAC